TTATGAAGATAGTTCTACGCGTCACGATAAAACTTCACTTTTGAGATTATGTTAATGGTTGGAAAATTCAATAAAACTTATTGGAAACTGTAATTAATCTGTAATGATCTAATTTACAAATTATTTTCAATGACAATTTATCAAAAAAGAAGCATTACGAAAACTAGTTTCAGTAGATTAAATGGGAGTTTGAATCCATCAGTTGACACTACAAAAACATTTTATAATTCTAATAAAATCGACATCAATATGAACAGAAATAGGCATTACAATCTCGTTTCAGATCAAGAAAAAGGCCTACATTTAAGGACCTCAGACATCATTTGACGATTCACTTGTGTTCCCCTGAGATTTCAACCTTTAAAACGAGTTTCAACTGCTTTTATTTCCATCGAACCAATCTTGAACCAAGATACATCCAATGAAGTGGTTTGTACTTTTGGCCGATGAAAACCTAAGGAATAACCACTTTGATCAAAGATTTCTCTTATTAAAGATAAAAAATGACGTGTTAGTTGTTGAAAAAAATTGTGCCAAGACCCATTTTTATTTTCAAAGAAAATAAATTTGCTACATTCTTCAAATTTCAGTGAATAGTTAAGGTATTTAAAAATTCAGATTTTTGTACTCGATAATAAATTGCATCAAAACGATCGAGTAGTTTGCAATAATTGATATTAATATCAATATTTGTCGGTTATCGAAAATATATAAATTGAAATTTTTAAGACATGAATCTTCTTGAATTATTTGAATTGCTAGAAAATCCAACTGAAAAGAAAATTGTTCAATGAAATTGAATTATTTATGATTATCATGATACTTTTTTGATTGAAAAAATCTCCATGAGGCTTGAAAATATTTCATTTTTCTTCGAAATAATTTGTTCACTAATCAAAGACATGTTCCACAAGTTGATTAGTAGAAAAATAAATCCTAGAGCTAATGTCATTATCATTGGCCAGTTTAAATCATTTTCTAGGAATAAATATAGACTTTGAAAAACCTGGAAGAGCATAGATAATATATATTCAATACAATATTAAATTTTATATATTTACAAATAGAATCATCATTAAAGTTATTCCGGTAATGGCACTGGTCAGATGCATCCCAAAACTTCTGTTGAACTGCTCCATTATATCAACAATACTATGATAAGATTTTGTAAAATCATAGAGGTTTTTGACTTTACTTTTGTTATCAATAGAATTTATATTCTTCATCAAATTTAGTTCAATTTGAAATTCTTCCATTGCAAGAATAATGAAACCCTCAACATTGGTTATCGACTCAAAAAAATTACTGATAGACATAGACGAAATCATATTAATGCAACTCATGAATAAAGATAGTTTTGAGAAATTATAAAAACTTATATGGACTGAAGTCACGATTGCTATTGACAAACCCATAAATTTCAACAAATTTTTTACACATAAACTTCCAAATTTCTTCCAATTTTCATCCGTCATTGGAAGTTCATACATTTTCTGCAGTAAAATTTTAATTTCATGACGATACAAGAAATTTAAAAGTTTTATGAAAGCAAACAATCCGTACCAGAAACCGAAAGTAATTGCAAGTGCTATGTAATTTACATGAGAGCTTTTCAAAATGATGATTACTTCTGGTTTTTCTACAAGTTCAAGCTTTTCTTGCCAAATTGTGAACATCAAAACCATTAGAACGAAAATAGAGAACGAAACAAAAATCATGATTACACTTAAGACGATTCCAAAGGTAAATGAATGAAATTTTTCGCCCTTGAATTTTAATGCGAATAATAAAGTTAAATTGTAATAATAAAATAAAAAATGAAAAGTTTTATCAAAAGTTTTAGCCATCGAAACTTTTCACTGTTTAAATTGAAATTTAGATAAGCTAATTTGTGGACAAATTATTTAACAGAATGACCAGCTGAATGTTTCCAAACTAAGAAGTCAATTAAAATACAGGAAAGAAGGTTTGTTTACATATAAAATATAAAAAATTTCCATCACAAATCAAGATTAAAAGTCATTAAAGTTTAATGAAGTTTATTGAAAAAAGTAGGCAATTACTCAAATATTTAGTGCTCATCTTAATTACACCTTGACTTTGAAACATTGCCAATGACAATTAAAAATAGATTTTTTTTTGTAACTTGAAGCAGTGACATAATCAATTGACAATAGAAATGAATATTTAATTCTAATAAAATTGACTTTTGTATGACCTCAAAATTTTCTCATTATTTATGTAAAGCACCTGACGTCTGTTTTTAATTTCTTTATTCAAACATTCATTTCAAATTGCAGTAAAACGATGAAATATGAACACGAAACTGTTATGACGTCAAGAAAGAATCTACGATTCAACTTAAATAAGTTAAACAATCTGAATTCCATTGGATGGTTAATAATTTCAATAGCCAAAAATTTTATCTAAAATAAAAAGAAATTAGACGATGGAAGTTTTCAGAAGGTTTTAACTCACATTTTTGTTACTTTTGTGGTAAAGAAGTAAATCATTCATAAGCTTTCTGTCTTCTCTTTCAAAATTTTCTCCAGAACTTGTTAATAAAAAGAATAAATAAATCAAGCCAGGAAAAGCACTGAAAAATGATGTAGCCAAAACACCAAAGCTTGAAGTTATCAGCACAGTCTGAAGTGAATCATAAATCTGGAATTTTCAATGATATTTCTCTTAAGTTCAATGCTTGTAATAATTTTTAAATTAAAATCTTACTTGAAGAGTAAAGTTAACTATGACTGAAACTGTCACTAATGTCAGTTGTAATCCAAATACATCGTTGAATTCATTACTTACTTTAAATATATTCTGATAGTTTACCAATTTCGTTATTAAAATATTCCAATCGATAACATTTTTATCTTTTAAAATTGTCTGTAAGTCAAATCTCAAGTCATCAAGCAATGTTACTATCAAAATCTCAAAAGATTTCATCAGCATCATTGTCCCAACAACAACATAAGTTTGATAGTAATGCATCATGAACAAGATAACGGAAAACAGAGATGGCTTCATGAAACCAAAGTACATTGAGAGTTGTGTAAGTGCAAAACCACTAATAAATATTAAAAATAACTTTTTAAATCGATCACTAAGCATCTTTCGACTTCTTGGTGAGATTGGAAACTTCAATAAAATATTGGAAAGTTTTAATATTTTCCTTTGTTTCAAGAAGTTTATGAAGCAAATTGTTACAGCCGTGCACAATTCCAAGTAGCTAAATATTAAAATCACAATCTTTGAAAACAATGATAAATTTTCCAGCACGTCGTCCGACCATTCAGAAAGTGCATGATCTTCATATAGTTTCTCGATATGTTGATCGACATATATCAATATAAACGGAACAACGAAATTTAAAACTACTTTGATTCGTGAAATAACAAAAGTTTTGTTTTTAAAATTAAAACATGAAATTCCAAGAAAGTTTGTTATCAAAAGAAAGAAACGAATCAAACGATCAGAGCTCATGATTGAAGTTAACTCAACTAAATATGAGAATTTCAATCAATATTTCAGTAACAGATCCGTTTTCAATTATCTTGATATCCATAGAACCATAGGAATTATTAATGATGCGTATCAATTAATGAAATTGATGTAAAGTGACACTTTAATTAATTAAAAAGAAGAGATGTGAACTATGTAAGCTTATTAATGAAGCATTCACTTCACACATTTCCCCGGCTGTAGGACGTGTGATGAGTAGAAGTGACCTAAACCTTGAATTAAATTGTTGTCTAGTGCTTGATGTCAATTGACATATAAGTCGATTTAATTAATTGTCAGTTTGATAAATAATTGCAAGCTATAAGTTTCAACACTTTTTCTTTGATTTTCTGAAAATAATTAACACCACAGAAGGCAGGTAACAGTCAACCAAGCCTCTTCCATAATTCCAACAGCGTGTTTACCCAATTGACAATTAATTTACAGAAAACAAATTCAAACTTTTTGATTGTTTCGATTCCGTTCCATTTCCCATTTGAAATTGCAAAATATTCACTTTGTGATTTCTGTGTTATGTGCACTATTATTAAAATTGTACAATTTAACGACTGACACCTCTTCCCCTTTCTGCTATCTGTGTCATGTTGTTGAATGTAAGTTCAAAGAAACTAATCAACTAAAACGGCAGAAATAATCACTCATTTGTTAAACAATTCAAATGCTTACATTTAGGGAAGTTTTCATACTTGAAATATTCTCTGACAAAGGTACAGAAGTTTGCAGAATTTTCGAAATAAAAATTGCGTGCATTTAACTTTCCATACTTTGCTGGTTTTTACTGCTTGATTGCATTTCCTGTTTGAGTTTTAGCAAAGTATTTTCTCGTTTTTTATCTACATCGTTTAATTTACGTAAATAATTAAATTATTGGGAGCAGAATAAACTTTACAAGATGACGTGAAACTTAAACGAAAAGCGATTTGAATATCCAACGAATTCAAAAACTAAAATTTTCATTCGGTGTGAAAATTCAAAAAAGTTTTCATCACAGACACAAACCTCGAACTGCTCCATCTCATACTTTTCATTGGAACTAAAAACGTGTGTGTGTGTGTTACTGAGAACGATACTGAAAGGGTTAAAAGCGAACGTTAATTTTATGCACACGTGTGAATGATGAGCGCACATGTGAAGTTTTCTGTTTCAATGTTTTTCCACCAGATCATGCCACTTGCACGTTGGTAAATTATTTTTTATATTTCTTCTATTTACACAATTGCCTTTCAAAGACCACCATGTGAGAATGGTATGTGCAATTTTATGCAAAAATATTGTAAAAATATTCTCCAGATGATTCTCGTGTTGACAATAAAATTTCTATTGAAAAACCAAATGACGCAAGAACCGCTGCGAGTTGAGCATGGGGAGCTTTAACAACATTAACGCAAAACAAATGTTTGGGTCAAACTCGAGTGAGGAAATATGAGGAAGTGCAAGTCGTAAAGTTTTCATAAACTAATTTTTATTCTGTTTTTGCAGCAGTCTGTTTCATGTAACTATCTCAAAACATCTCACATTGGACCGCCCAAGATGAAGATGAAAAAGATAGAAAAAAAATGTTTTTGATCGTTAAATGATTCATAACGACGCGGCGACTTCTTGTCATAATTAAAATAACATGAAAATGTAAACAGAACTCACAATAATTATACAGTGAGATCCAGAATTGAACTGATTTCCTTGACGAAATGAACAAAGATTGCTTAACATTTCAAACTATCTAGAATCTAAATTTGTCAAATTTGCGTGTAACAAATAAATTTGACACTTTTCAAGAAGAATCTCATGTTCGTCTCCATTCAGTCTCCCAAGTTGCGCAAGAACGATAAATTTTCTTTCTTTACACTCACATCAATATGGAAATTTGAGACTAAGGATCAAAGGATGGTTTGACTCGTGCCGAACGTAAGAAAAAGATTTTTAAAGACTTCACAAGAAATGTTTTCTTCACTTATGATAATAAACATTTCAATCGGTTGAATTCACTAAGAAAACTCTCATTTGTGATAAGATCTTTCTCTATTTCTTAAATTTCTTCTGTTCCAAACTGCATAAATCACTTAAGAGGACATAATTAATTTAAGAAGCTTGGAATGACTTCGTCTGATTCTATAAGTAGAACTTTACGACACCACAAAGTTAAAACAATTTGAAAATTCTCCACATTCGACTTCGAACCGATAAATTAATTTTAATTTATCGTCACTATTGCTCGCCATCACATTGGATAATTCATTTTAAACCTTTTCCTTTTGAACAACGAAACATTTTCAATTAAAACGCTTTCATTTTATGCAAAAAACTCCCCCGCAAAAAGACAAGAAGTTAAAATAAATAACAAAGACAATATATGCATGGGAGATCGAGAAAAGGATGCACAAGCAAACATCATTAACAATTATAATTTATGGAAGTTACGAATAGCAAAGGGCGAGTTTTTCGAAAGGCCATTAAAAATTAGAAACAGAATTTATACTTTTTAGCATCGGACATGGAACAACAGAAGAATATTTGAAATTCCTAGGAAGGATGCTTCGTTGTCCGCTGGCTTCCATAACAAGAAGAGAAAAAAAGGATTTAGCAATTCATTACTTTAATTACAATCTTCGTTGTGAGTAGAGGAAGTGAGTGATGTTGAAGGTAATATTGATTAGAGATGTTAGGAATTGAGTTAGATTTTTAATTGCTTTGAAATGTTGCGATTATTGTCCAATTATGTCTGTCTTAACACAAGCTTACTCATCTGTTTATCATCTAAAGTTTTAATGAATTAAATAACTTTTTGACGTGTGTGTGTGTTTGTAAACTTTTCTCATTATCATGTCAAGGGTTGACTTGGTTTGAAAATCGCCAGACTTTGCAACAAGAAAATTTTCTCCAACAGAATGTTAAACATGTAAAATGTGAGGGTTTATTTAATTTTAAAACGTACGCGTGGAGTTGGACGCCAGTCGAGACGGGAGGGTCCAGTCAGTATTTTTCCTGCTGAAAAGATAAAAAAAATTTACGAAATTTTCAATGAAACATGCATTGCGAGAAATATTTCAAAGAATGTGAAGGGAAATTAAAATCGGTTAAAAGAAGAAAACAAAAATATAAAAAGATTTCAGAATTTAAATAAAATCCTTACTTTGCTTTCTGATCTCATGAATATTTGAATCCGAATTAATTCTTCAATTTATGCAAATTTGAGTAATGAATAATTATAATCTCAAGACGTTAAAAAATTGCTACATCTTGAGATATTTTACAAGATGTTTAACATTAAGACTTCATGTTGTTCTAGTCAGTTAAATATTCCTTATTTTGATTCTATAATTTAGCATTGTTTTCCATCATAATCATGTCTACCAATAACAAATAAGTGCAATCGGAAACAAAACTAAATTAAGGGAAATCCAATTGCCATTGAAACCATGAAATTATAATCGATCCCTACCACTTCTCGAAATCACAATTTTCCTCCTCAAAAGACATAATAGAAAGCATAAGCACTCAAAGCATTCTTGCCATGAACCGACATCGATGTTGGTGATGGTGGGGAAAACTATTAACCCAAAAGTCGGTCCCATTCGATGGTTTTCTGGGTGAGATTGAGCAATAAGCAAAAAAAGGATTTTCTAATCAAATCAATGCGTGTGTGTCTCCGCAAGCTTCCTTAATTTTCTCTGGAAAACGAGACTTGAGGGTTTTCTTTTAGGCTTTGCTTTTCAAACCACATTCTCTTTCACATATTTTCATGTATGAAAATCGACAAAATAAAAAAAAACTCTCAAAAGGAGGGAAAAAACAATAAAATTTAAGTTAAAAACCGTCATTTCCAACCGAAAATTTCCCGAGAATACTTTGCCACTAAGCCGTTTAGTTGTTGCTGTTATTTGTGAGAGAAGGGCGGTCTATGTGTGGAACCAACACGTGTGCTAACTCGCACGACGACAAATATGGTTGAAGAAAAATTATTTGAGAAAAATTTCTAAATTATCTTCTCTCGTAGTTCGAGTGATTAATTCAAAATTTATGTACTCAAATATTCTTATTTAAATTATTATAGAGTTAGAATGAATATATGCCCAATCTAAGTATATCGTTGTATTTGTCAAAGTACCTATAAATGCTTCCTAAACAACAAAAACTTCATTATCAGTTCGTTTTTCACCCATTCATAGTCCACGTTTAGCTTATCTTTGTGATCTGCTGCTACTGCTACTGTCTGCAACTAAATAAATTTCACATCCACTGGATAAACCGTAAAGCAAGGAAAAACGACACCAACACATTTATACGATATATATTACTTTAAACCAAACCCCATTTTTGACCGCAACTGTGTACTCGTGTTGGTGGGAACTCGCTCTCTGTTGTTGCTATTCTGTGATATAATTTCAAGCTCAGATCTTACATTTTGGAATAAGCACTGAGATGATATCAAGGCTTGAATCGTCTTGACAACAGCCACTTTGGAGTCACCTGAGATACTCAAGAAATCTTCTTAAAAACGTTGATACATGAAAGCCTAATTAAAAATCTTAAAGAAACCTCTCGAGATTTACATCACCGTATTTAAATGCGTGATGAAACTTCAAACTCAGAAAGGGTTGAGAGAGGAAGAAATATGAAAACAGAAGGAAATAACATGTGGAAAGGGTGAAAACACATGGTTTTTTCATCAAAACATTTTCCAGTGCGAGAGAGTTTTGCACATGGAAAATCGTCATTAATTTTTCTTTGATGGTATGAGTGTTGGCGTGATGAGAGTGTTGGTGTCTGAAGAAATTTTCATGATAATTTTCCCGCTGAATTTTCAAACAATTTTCTTTCCATTTTTTGAAAATCATTTTCACATTTGTGTATGTGCACGGCATGTGTGGTTTACAATTAAAACGATACAAGTACATAATGCGGCACTCGACTGGCATCCACGATACGAAAAATACATTTTCTCTCGCAACACTTTTTCTGTCTTTCGTGTACACCTTCATAAAAACGAAATGAAATAAAAATATATTCGTTCTTGTGTGTGGAAAAGTCGGAAAAAGCAACAAAAAGTTGAAGAGCGATACAGTACGTAACGGAAATTAACTCTGAAAGCAATCATCAATATTCCATGTTCGCCTCGAATGTGCGGTCACAGAACCTAAAATTGACCACTTTGTGACGTGCCACGCGAGTTTTTTTACGCTTTGAATAACGGAGAACAATTTTTTTCGGGGATTTCCCTTTGGCCGCAAAATTTGCGACCGCCAACGAAAAATTGTGTGTGGTGAAAGAAGCTTTTTTTACCCGTGTCTGGTAACTGACGTGAAAAGTGATCTCTGAACGTGGTAAGCGCGGTTTATGTCGGCAAAATTGCCGTGAGATTTTTATTTCAAAAAGCTGTTAACGCGGTGAACCGTGTGATATTTGGGATGTGTGTGGTAATTTCTGTGAAGTTCATTACAAGACTTTTCATTGGTTAGATTAAATTTTGTTAGTTGGTCGACTTATTAAATAATAATTATTTACAAAATCAATTTGATAAATAGTTTAACATATTTTCATCGAAAGAAAAAACTCTCTTAGATCAAAGGAATTCACAATTCTAAATATGAAAACTCTTACACGAAAGAATCCATTTCTTTGTCACGATTCAGTCGTTAATTATAAATTTCTCTTTACATGACAAATGACTAATTAATTATTTTTCCAGAGAAAAAAGAAAAATTTTCTTACTGAAAATAACAAATTTAAAAGTTTTACGATCCAAACATGATCACTGAAATTGTTTCACATTTCTTCCACACTTTCTTTCCTTTCGACCCCAGCATGTACTTCAAGGTTTGTTTAAACAATTTCTACGTCGAATATATTTAATAACAACAATGAAAAGCTATAAAGATGAAAATAAAATTTCTTGCAGAGACCCCACAAGAAGTTTTTCAACTCATGTAAATGATCAAATGCTTGCTTATATAAAGACAAGAGCCACTGAAGAAAAACTACTCGCGTGAAAATGAATACTCTCGCAAACCATCATCATCATCATTGATTTTCACTCTCAGAAAGCATTTTTGCTGAACGCATTTTCCAGTGAAGCGAGAAAATGTGAAAAACTAACAGCAACAGAATAAAATTTTGCTTTCCACAAAACCCCCGCTTTCCCTAATTAATGTTATACATATTAAATCTGCTGCTATTGTTGTTGCTTCTATGTACAAATTGGAAATTCTCGGCCCTGCTTTTATGTTTTATGATTGCGCACTCACATGATGACGATGATGTGTTCTTGTTATACTTATGTTGTTGCCTCATTTTGGGATGTGTAAGGGTTGCAAAATAGTTTCACTCTTTACTTGCTTTGCTTTTGGGGGCCTCTGAAGTGTGTTAGAAAATTTTACAGAACAATTTTGAAAATTTTCCCTTCCGTGATTTTCATTTCTCGACGGATTTTGAAAGAGACGAGAAGCCAACTACAACGCGATCGCGTGTTTGAATATTGTATGGGGAAAGCCATGGGAAAGTTATCGAGTGAAAGTGCTTAATAAGAAAATTGATGAGTTGTCGTGAAAAAATTACAAATAAAAAAATATTTAATGCAACTCGTCAAATTGAAACTTGAAAAACTTTGTCAGTTGATTTGAAAGTGCGTGTTGAAAAGGATTTTTCGTTCGTCTGCTTGAGGCTTTATTGGTTCGCCTCTATTTGCGGATATCGTGGCAATTCAAGTTGTGTGTGATCGGAACAAAACGGAAGGAAATTTTCCATTTACGACAGAAAACGGAAGAAAGTTTTAGTGAAAATAAAATTTCTAAAATTTCTAATAAAAAGAACAACAAAGTTAAAGAATTTTTTAAATTCTGAACCAGGTGATAATTGAAACCTTTCTTAGGACGTCAAAGAGAAAGTTTAAAATTCTTATTGATCAAGAAAGCTTGCACGACGAATCAGAAAACAAAAGATTTTTTGAAAAAATATTTAAATCAAGCATAAATCAGCGGTTCAGTGTTGTTGTGCATCCTAAAAGAAAAAAGATTTTCATCATTTTCCGCCGTATTTTTGAAACATATTTATTGGGGAATTTAATGGTGATGTTGAGCACGAGAAAAAGCAAGCGAATCGGAAAATTTAATCCTTTTATTGCGTTTAATTTTGTGCTTGCTCAACGTACACGTTCAATGTTTGAGTTGAATTTACAGACACATTATGGTGGCAACAAATAAAATTTCTAGTGATGGAAGAGATTGTTTGGCAATAAGCGATAGAAAAATATTCAATTAACCTTCATTAAAGTCCACTACTAAGAAAGAAGATTAAAAATTAAATTGACGAATGTGTTAAATGTCAATCGAGTCACAAAGTGTTGAAATTTTCTTTAAAAAATTTAACTTAAAAGTATTAATTGACAATTTCCAACATTTTTTATCAATTTTCTCTGTAAATTTCTTTGCAACATTCTGTTTCACGTAACACTACACATGAGTTGACTAAGTTATGTTCATTGTTTGGTTTATTTTAATCATTCTGTGTATTTCACAGTTTCCGCTTTAGTTCAACATTTAACTTGTTTTAAACTCTGTGGAATTTTCATCAGACGCAACAGAATCGACAAAAAATGAGACACCAACAAACCAAACCAAAAAAATATAATTTTGGCTTCACAGAAGGGTTAAAAAAGCTCCCGCGAACTTTTTTTGTTCATTCCGCGATTGTTTTTGAGCGAGATAAATGGTGCGAGTTGAATTGTTTATTTGGCGGGGATTTTTATCCGCCGCGTCCATGTCCATCAATAGAACGTATGTGAGAATTCGTGGTGCACATTTCTCGTTCCATCATTCAGAAAAATAAAAAACAGAAAAAATTGTTCACTTTTTTTTGCTAACGCGTCCTTTATGTTGGTACTTTTGGTGGACCACACGAGTAAAGCCACATAACATTCCGCAGAATATTCAACTGCTTTTGTCCATTTTTGATTTCAATTGACATTTTTACGGCTTTTGGTTGTTGTTTGAAGAATTCATCTGGTCGAGAACATTGTCGTCATTTGAGAATGGAAATTGAACGCAAAGTGAGAGTGTCGAGTGTTTTGTCGAAAATGTAAAGTGGACAATTACATATCAGTTAAAGTGCTTCTCAAATGGTCAACATCGAACCGAACAATGTAATTAATTCAAGCTTTTGAATTGTTAAGGAAGAGATTTAAATGGATTTTAAACTTTGTTGTGGATGGAGAAATCACAAAGGAACTTTAATATGTTTACTTAATATTGTGGCATTAAATTATGAAATTTCTGCACCTGATTCATTGTTGATTTGTCAGAAAAAGAAGAATTTTCCTTCACAATAAATCTTCATTAAACTTTGATTAAATTCAATAAATTTCTCTCACACTTTTGGCACTTTGAAACCTCCCGCAATTAACTCAATAACTGCATATCGAAATTGTTTGCTATGAAAATTCTCCGCCGGTCAGTAGAAGGAAAATTTTTGGAGTGGTCAAAAAGACGATAAATGTGAATAGAAATCACGTGAAATCAGTAACCGTCTAAATAGAATGCCAAGAGATTATTGTGCAATCATAATTGTTAATTTGAATATCTTCTCCAACCCCGACGCTTCATTATCATCGTCAATGTTGTGTGAATGTGTCAAATGTGAAAATTCCATTCTCGGTAGAAAATTGTTGAAATTCTAATTTGTGCATTTTCCAAACATATAAATATCTATTATGATGTTGATGCTTATCCATTAGACATTTCAAGGCTTTATTAGCGGTGTGAGGTGAAATGAAACTATCATAAATATTTCCGTTGAAATTTTCATCACTTAAGAAGAGAAGAGTTCGAGAATAATGTTGAAAAGTCTTTCGAGGAATACTGCACGCCATAAAGCCTCTGCATGTTCATAATTCACTGACATGACGCATTTTCCTATTCCTCAACAATATTTTCCGGAGATCTATGTAACATTTTCATATTTTCTCAAATTGCATCTGCAACATGCATCAACAAAATAGCAGCAAAGGCAACATTAGTAGCAAAACATTTATGCTTATGCAACATATTATGATCCGGCTTCTCTCTCTTATTGTATGTCTATTTGTGTAGAAATTGGACATTTGTTTCGTTACCACCGCCACAGCATAAACATTCACATCAAATGGTCAGTTTTCACTGTTTCCGCATTGTCGTTGCCGTCATCATGTCTATAAAATGGTTTTGTAGGTTACGTTGTCACTTGTTTAGAGGTTTCCTTCTTTAACAACATGTATCAAGCATATTTGAGGCCCTCAACAAGGCAACATACGCTGTTCATTGTGTAAACATAGAAAGCTCTTATGGCTTATGTAGATTTTAGTCGTAATGATTTAAAAGCTTCTCTTTATACCATCTCAGCATGGCATAGTCCGAATGTACAAATGTGAAACTTTCTCATGTCTTCAATGTCACCTGGTTCAGAAAAAATAAAAAAGTTTAATTTTTCCAGCAGATGTGGATGTTCGTGAAAATTTAATTAACAGAAAATTCAGAAACTAAAAAAATTGTGGACTAAAGTTTAAGTTGAAACATTAAAAATGCATTTGACGGCAAACAGCGCAAGTGGCACAACATCAAATGGAGGAGTAAGCGGAAATACTTCTACCAGTAACAATACAACAACCAGCAATGGATCATCAAATACCAACTCAAATTCTAATAATGCAAACAGTAGTAACAGCAACAACAATACGTCAACAAATAGCAGCAACAATAATCAACCACTGACACCTGAACAAATTCTTCAGGAAACTTACACAAAAATGACGTCAGATATTCTTGCTGAAAGAACGCTCGGGGATTTTATGTCAGAACATCCAGGAGAGTTGATAAGAACGGGATCACCGCTATTTGTTTGTACAGTTCTACCGTCACATTGGCGATCGGTAAATCTTTGGAAAGTTCTTATTCAAATTCACTTCAATTATTCATTTTAATTACAGAACAAAACTCTACCGGTAGCATTTAAAGTTGTAGCTTTAGGAGATATTAATGATGGAACAATGGTGACAGTTCGAGCAGGGAATGATGAAAATTATTGCGCTGAACTTCGAAATAGTTCAGCGGTGATGAAGAATCAGATTGCAAAGTTTAACGATTTAAGATTTGTGGGAAGAAGTGGACGAGGTGAGTCAAGATAATTATTGAATTAATAAAGCCACTTTCTTCGCATTGTTCCCAACCCTTCTGCTTCCGATAGGCATCTTTGACTTTTCTTTTTATCTCAAGGCGATGACGAAGTAATAAATTTCCTTCTGTTTAATGCATTCATCCTGTTGCTTCTTTTTTTCTCCACCAAGTCAACCCTCGCTTGTTGATAAAAATGATGAAAAAATATTCTTTGAAAGAAGGAAAAAAATGTAAAAAGGATTTATCCGTCTCATCGTGATTTTTCTTGCGTTGAATGAATGGGGATTTGTGCCTGAGAAATTTTTCTTTCTGGGGAGAAAATTCTTTCTTTGCAAGGGTGAAGATTTTCCGGGAAATTAAGTTGTAATAGAGACATGGTTTTCCACTAAATCGATTTATTTGTTACTCTGACTTTTTTCTTGTCTTGTTTAAGATTGAAGTTAATGATAGCAAACAAAAATGTGAACGCTTATAAATCATTTCATTTTTATTATTTTTGGAGAAGAAAATTACAAATATGTTCAATGCGTGTCGAATGCCATTCGCTCATTGAAGTATTTCTGGGTATTTGTGAGTTTTTCCGTCTCCACATTTTTCTTTAACGTTATTCGTGTATTTATCGTCTCGACGATGGAAATTGAGCTTCATAATTCCACTAAAGCTACTCCTCCACACATGCAAAATATATTCAACTGAATTTTGAATAAAATTTTCATTTGATGTTAGAATTTATGGGGGCGGGGGCAAATTTGCTTCATTGGCCTAAGTGTCTGTGCCATCGGATTTGTATCAGAATTCGTATCGATTCACTAATCGGTACGATCCTGGTTCCATTCTCGGTGGTGGTCACTTGGGCTGAGGTTTTCAGAAGTTTAGATACTTCGCCCCTGTTTCATTTAAAGTGGAATTTTTCACTAGGATATAATAAACTGAAATGTCTCTTTGTATCAAATTTGATAAAAATATAAATTTGTCAAATATGAACAATGAAGAGTATTCAGGAATATACAATCCTGTGGAACGCTACTGAAAGTGGAACCTTCATCATTCAGGTGATGAGACAAAGGGAGCGAAACAAGTTGGAATTTATATTCCTGTATTCTTAATCGCTTTAGTGTACAGTCGTGCACTCCCTACTCTGATGATGATGATGATGAAGAACAGCAACTTGACACTTTTTAATTAATTTTCTAGTAGCAAGTGTGNTTTCCGTCTCCACATTTTTCTTTAACGTTATTCGTGTATTTATCGTCTCGACGATGGAAATTGAGCTTCATAATTCCACTAAAGCTACTCCTCCACACATATATTCAACTGAATTAAAATAATTTTTTCATTTTAAAACGATTTGATGTTAGAATTTATGGGTCTGCTTATTAAAGAAATTTTTACACTTCCTTTCTTGCTATTAAAAATATTTTTTAATCCGTTAGCAGAGTTTTGAGTTGAAGGTGTAATAAATTGAATTTCCCATATGTGTTTTCAAATGAAAATCGATTCATGAATGGAAATCGATATTATTTAATTAGATAATCACAGTTGAAAAGCATTATTTGTTTCATGTTTAAAGAATGTTAAGTTGTTTGAACAGCCCATAAATAGAAACTCACCAAATCGAATCTAATAATAAAAATTTATGTTGTGTAACAAAATTTAGCCAGATTTTTGCAAAAATATAATTGTCAAACATAATTATTCATTTGAATTTCATTTAATTAAAAGTTTAATTTGAAAACATTTGCAAAATTTAATTTTGGTGCAGGTTACGAAAGCATGAAATTGACCAAATGAATTTCTGCTGGTTTTTTGGCTGTGCTATAATTTCTCGTTTTTCTTTGTTTATTTATATAATGCGAAATTCTATGAGATTTTATAATTTTTAACTGCATTACTGCGTTGGTGCGTTTCATTGCCCTCAATATTTTATATTTTTGAAAATTATCGATTTTTTGAAGTGAAAAGTTGGAAAATTGTTCTGCCATTGTCTCCCCACTTCAATCAAAGGTTTTATAAATTATATGTTTGGATTTTTCTTGCATTAAATTAAAGCCTTGTCATCAACATGATGACTGTTTAAAAATAGCATAAAAAAGGCCAACAGACACAACAACATGGAAAAAGCCTCGGGAACATTTAATTATTAAATTGTGAAATTGATTTTTGGAACATAAATTATTACCAACAAGCTACAAAACGAAATGGCGTAAAATCAAAATTCAAAAATAAAATGAATGTTCGTTGATAAAAATTGAATATTAATAAAATTATTTATGATGTTTTAAGTTGAAATGAATTAAAGTGTGGACAATCAATAAAACTTTCCTTCATTTACTACTCGAAAGTGATTTAAATTCCATTTGAGTCAGTAAATATTTTCAACACTGAACTTTGAAAATGTCAAATTAACAGAAATTTCTTAAAACAATGACATGATAATGAATCGTATCCACGCACATGAAAACCGATAAGTCTTCCACAACATTAATGTATGTTGCGCTGCCACCTTTCTGTTTATTATGGCATTTAAAAATCCGATTAAAATTATCAAATGTTGATTCAAAATGAGAGTTTTGTTTTCAACTGCAATAGTTTCATTCGAACATAAATTACACTCGATATGTTGGTTTAGAATGATTCAATTTGAAAATTTCCATTTTCTGAGTTTTCCAATTTTCCCATTCCATAAATCGTAAATTCAAAGCGACTTTTCGCTTGAAAATAAATCAAAAAACTAGTTTCTAGTTTTTCAAGTGTGAATATACATTTATTTGCATGAAACTGTAATTTATCAAAAACCTTCTGGTTAGAGGAGCGTCTACCAGTTCAGTTTCCAGGTCTTTTCTACTCTTTGCCTGAACCCTAAAGAACTAATTGTGGTTGCTTCTTTAAATTCTGCAGATGATCCTTTTTCGTCTTTCTCAGTCAACATCACATGTTTACGCAATTTTAATTTTCCATCTTTCTCAAACGTTTTAATTAAAAGAACCAAGCAATGAACGATGACACGTCTTTCCTTAACTTTCTTCCTTTTTTTGTTGATAAAAATCTTCCATCATTTGTTTTCTCTTCAGAAATTCTCATTTTCTTTTGTGTATTCATCAAGGCATGGTTTCAATTCAAACATAAAAGAGACAAAGCTGAAAAACACTTTATATCAAGCCCACACTTGTCTTTCTGCTTCTTTTTCTTTTCCTTGTTTAATCATGTGTGTGCGAAAAACAATGATGGAAAATTAAATGAAAATAATGTCGAGCCATTTTTCTTTGTTTTCAAGTTGTTCACGAGAGAAGGAGAGTTGAGAAATGAAGAAATTAAATTAATAGCATTTTAAAACAGTGAATTGGGATGTGAGTAAAACGTCTACAGCACCAGATCCATGCACAGAAATCTGACGCTCGCTCTTTGAATAATTGTAATGTGTAATTAATTTTATTCTTTTCTTTTTTTTCACACTCATTTGTCGTTTGTTTCAACTCGTAGAAATAAACTCATTTACACATGTGATTGTGACATTTTTTCACGCGTACATAATTCGAACAAATGATGAAGATTTTTTATAAAATTTTCTAAATTTATTTGACAGAAATTCTGATAACATTTTGCATAACTTTAAGGGGTTAAATGAATTTGATTTACTCGTTCATGTTTAATTCAACTTACTTATTAAACTATTTTCGTAGACATATAGAAATTCAAGTCAGCAATTGAAATTATTCTGAATTTCCATGACTGCATCAATCTTATAAGCTTGTCAATTTAACCTTTCAATTAAGCGACTTTCCACTAACTCAAAATTAGTATGCGAATGATTGAACGCGGCTATACAAAAGCTGACATACAAAAGGCAGGAAAGGCTAAAAAATTGAGGTTTTAGAATATAAAATTGGATGAAAATTAGGATGAGGAAGTTTTATAATGCAAACTTCATTACTAACAAAAATTGCTAAAATATAAAGGCAGCAGCCCATAAATAAATTAAAGTGGCTGTTGGCGAAATGCACCATGCGATGGCATAAATTGATTCACATTTGAGAGCGCAACATACTCATAAAATCGCATCCATGCACATAAAAAACCAATAAATTTCAGCAATGTTGTTTCCACGCGAAATAATTTCACAAATTTCAGCGATATTGTCGCGATTTTCCTCGAATAAGAAAAGTTTTCGTGATCGACACAGCGCAATGCGCTAACAACATTAATTAATGTAATCTCGATGACATGTGCTAAGAATTTTAAATATAAATGAGAATTTTGGGTGTTGTTTGTTCAACGATTTTAGAAGAAAAATTCTTCCTAAACTTGTTTATCATCATTAAATTTGATTCAAATTTACATGAATAATTTCAATGATGTACGTTGTAACATACAATCAGGAAAAGATTTTCCAATCTCATTGATTGTTGATGTCAAGAGAATAAAGTACAACCGAGATTGAAACTTTCATCGAATAGCCAAAGCACGAAATTTTAAAATTAGTCATTTTGTGACTCTTACGCGTTATAAATAGAAACAGTCGAATCGGGGAGTTAAAAGACATTTTAATGAAGTTCTATCGTCCATTCGAAACGTTTCCCCAGCAACATTTTCCAATTTGCATAATTTTTCTACTCCCTTTCTAATTTCGCTGTCCACTACAGAAATCTGCATTTGCAGTAGATCAAAAGGCAATTCCTGTTATTGTTCATGCATGATGCATTTTATGCTACGTTGATAAAAAGGAACCAAGGTTTTCGCAACATTAATGATAGTCATTCAAACTTAAATTGCGCTTTACAACATGCACGTTAATTGCAATAAAACAACGACATTCAATAATGAATTGAGATGGAATATTTATAAATAGGGAAGGGGGAGAAGGGACTGAAATTTCCCTGCTAAATGTGAATTTCGTTTTAGTTTTCATTTCATCAAAGAGATTTTCAAATCTTTAACTTGAATTATTTTGTCATCTCAAACAGATTATTTATTAGATTCTTTTGGTTAGTCCACAAATTCAGAGAGTTTTACTTCATTTTAGACCTAAAATCGCTAAATTTTTTTGCGTGAAAAATGCATCACGTTAGCGAAGTGCGGGGAAAATCATTTCATTTGAATTCCGACATTATTTACTTGAAAAAAGTTTCGAGTAATTGAAAATTGATTTTCCATAACTGAATTAAATTGTTTCGTGTTGAAGTTGTGCATAAAAAAAGGAATGTTGGGGAATAGTTTTTTATGGTATCACAATTTAGATTATGAGAGACGCAATTTGAATTGTGGGAATGCATGAGAATGGTTGACAATTTTCACGATATTTTGTTCTGTGCGGCTTGCAATACGACCTGTAAGCTGGTTTGTAATTTTTGTGATTTGCGGCTCATGCATTCTACCAATAAGTGAAACTCAATAAAAATCAAATTAAAAGTTGCCATCGTTGGTTTGGTTACAAACATTTGCAACAAAACTTTTTTCAGGAAAAATTAACGTAACTGAAACTTCACTTGAGTGGTTCAGTTACATTAACCACGACGGGTAGAAAACAAATCATCAGCACATCACAGTTAGTAAAGCACATTGACCTGAGTTCAGCATTCAGAAAAATCATCAAATTCTTGCTTTTCTCTGAAAGTTTTTCAGTGAAAAATTTGTTTTCCGCTTTTCCCCTGGAAAAACAAATATTTGCAATTTTTTTAACTTCTCAGAACATTATTTTGCTATATTTCAAACCCACGTTTACGTGGTGATGGCGGTAGTCCATTACATTCGCATTTTTTGTGTTTTATTTTTCTTCTAATTGACAAGCTCTTTATTAAGTTCAGTGGATGTGGGAAAGTTGAAAAAATGAAAATATTCCGCGGATTTTTCTGTCCGCTTTTTAAATTGCGGTGTGCCGCTGGTTCAAATTGATTTTTCTTCTTTCCCTCAATTTTTACTGGGAAATCATTTCATTTTAGGGTTTTTCCTTTTGGGAATTGAAAAGTTTCGTTTGTCGATATCAGTCAAAATCAAACATGAGATAAAGTTTGAGTATTGAATGCAAATGAAGCTTATGAAAGTGTATAAACACCTCAAATAACATGTCATGGTATCCAAGATAAGTATCATCATTATAGAATTAAATGCATTCGGGGAAAGATTAAATCAAACACACATTTGATAACATTGAAACTGTATCATTAAATGATCAGAACGTGATTACAATTCAAGCACAGATACTTCTAAGTTTGTATGTTTTAATTTGTCATTTTCTGTTCGGAAACTCTTATGTTGCTTATAACTACTTAATTAATCAACATTGAATTGAATTTTAATAGTTAACAATTTCTCTGTAACTCGACAAATGAAGAAATAAAAAATTTCAATAGCAACACAAATATTCACGTAAAAGTTCTTCCAATGCTCTATATAATCATATCGAACCTTATTTTGTATCTAATTTTTGTAAAAGATGTAAAATATTTGAGTTTTGTATTTGATACTTGAAGCTTCACCACAAAAACATCGAAGGACAAACGCACGCATTCCTTGTCGGCTGTGTTCACCTAAAAAAGGAAAACCTCGTTGTTGGTTGCGTAATTGTGTGCACTTTTCTCTCTTCCTTCTCACACCAGACTTCTTTAGAGTATCGTAGGCCAGAAAGTGTTTCGGTTTTCTAGGTTAATTTTCCAGATTTTAAGTGGGACGTCGTTGACGAGTCTCGGTGTGGTGGAGCTTTGGAATGGGAAATGTATTGGTTTGATTTTGAGGTAGACCAGGTCTGAGTGCAGCTCCTAAGTCCAAGGTTTTTACCTCAGCTTATGTGGCTTTATAACTCAACACACATTACTGAGAATTGGGAATATCAATTTTTTCTTATCTCAACAAATTACAATTAAAAATATTTTCAGGTAAAAGTTTCACGCTAACTATCACGGTATCAACAAGTCCACCACAAATTACGACCTACAACAAAGCTATTAAAGTCACCGTAGATGGCCCAAGGTTAAACGAATTGCTTTTGTTATTTAAACATAATTTAAATTTTTTTTCTCTTACAGAGAACCTCGATCGAAGACACGTAAGTTGAAGCAATTTCTTGAGATTTATTTATTATTTTGTTTTATTAAACTGAAAAGTGAGTAACAATTAATTAAAAGTGTTGCAGACGTCGCGTTCTCTCAAACTAAATTGTCAATCTTTTTCTCACTGAAACTTTCATTGAACGTTCACAAAAACCACAAAATTTCCATCTTCCTTTTTCTGCTGATTAAACTATCTTTCAAATCCCCAACTTTCCTTGATATTTCGAAATGCCCGAAGAGACGATGAAAAATAGTTTTCTATTTCGGAAAATTTATTTTCTGGGGAGATAGAAAAGCATTTATCAAAAGAAAGAGATCTGTGTGTGTGTGTGTGTGTGTGCGGATAAAAAGTTTCTTTAATCACAAGGATTGAAGAATTCTCCACTCATTTTGATAGTCCATGGAAATTCAATCTTTGTCTGTTTGAGAATGTCGTGACTGCCCCCCAATGTCTTTTATTTTAATGACTTTTTTAATCCACATACACTCCGTTATCGTCTTCCACACAGACACCTAGTGAATGTATTCAAAAACATTGAAATATTTTAGTTTCTTCGTTTTAGAATTTTCACTAAATTTTATTTTGCGAGAGAAGAAAAAGTTGGTCTTTGTACAATGTATCGGTTTGTGTGAGTTCACAATGTGTTGCACGCTTCAAATAGCATTTCTCAAATTTATAAAACTTCTCTAAATTTATAAAACTTTTACTTGAGCGTGTTTTAAATACAAAAGCAGATAATTTGATAAATTGTAGTAAAATGTTCGTTTTTATCGTTTCCTCTAGTCTCGGAAAATTCTCTTTACTCAACCATTGGACACACACATGAAGCGTTCGAAATGTCAAATTAGAAATTATTTATTGTGTTTTGAATTTAATTGCTTTTCGCCAGTACTTTCACATATATTCTCGTTCAAGATGAGCTGTCTCTATTGAATGAATTTTCCAATTTTCACCGAAACAATAAACTTTAGTTTTTCTCATCCTTCATTGTGCACATTCAATCACGAGAAGGGAAAAAGGATTTTTGTTCAAGCCCTCATTTTATTCTCATCTGAATATTTAATTGAAAGTCCTTCATTAATTTTCCAGATCAAACAGTTCTTTTATTTAACTTCTATTCGTGATTTAACAGCAAAACCAGAAAGTTTAAAAATTAAAACTAACCAACTCAACCTTTGGAAATGTGTCACAAGTTTTTGTATCTCATTTACTTAGTAGTTTCAATTATGAAAACCCGTCAGACATTCAAACTAAATTTCTCATTTTTTATACTGTCAAGCATCGTCCTGCTTTTTGATATCTAAAGTTATAAACTAAAATCCATGTAATTCCTACCCTGTCATCTTTTTCATCCTTTCAAATTAAACCAAGCAACATTTTGCGACGTTCTGTGCCGGTTACCACTGAAAATGTCATCCAACAGAAGCAAACACTAAATTACAATCTGCTTAAAATTGTGATGTCAGTTTTAATGAAAAGAAAATTCTGTTCTTTGTTCTGGAGACATTAAATTTGCTTTGTCTTTCCATATACGAGTACATATTGTCGGAGGCTGATCTCTTTGGACAGTTGAATGTTAGCAAATTAAATGTGTTGCCTATTATTTGACACAAATGGAAAAGTTTCATGTGAAAATTTGCAGCAGCTTTTCCTTTCTTGATTTTAAACGTAAAGTTTCGAGATTCAATAAAACAAAATATCATGTCGAGTAAGAAAAAATTGAAAATTTTCCTCATTTTCCATTGGATGATTTTTCAAAGAGAGAAAATGATTTCAACATCAAAAGCAGATTTTACACTTTTTCCGGCACCAGCATTTTACTACAATATTAAATATTTTTATTAACAAGTTAGTACAAAATGGTGGAATAAATAGATGCAAAGCCACAACATTTTGCATGAGCGCAAATTAGTTTTTGTGTAATGAAAAACTTTCATCCTTCTTTAAAAAGAATTTAATTATGTTGTAATTTCGCTTAAAGGAATTTTGATTTAATTAATTTAGAACAAAACACTGTTGTCTGGTCTTTTGTTATTCTTAAATAAGTTTATGTTTAAAAAATTGTGTCATTCAACATGCATAAGTGCACAGTTTTATCTTTTGCAGGTCAACAGCAGCAATTTCACTTTGCATTTGGGCAACGGCCGTTCCACTTCCCTGCCGATCCACTAGGTTTCCGGATGCCACCGATTGGGAATTGCCAGAGTGAGTGTTTAGGGTATTTCCTTTAATGTATTTATCATCAACTTTTATCCTCAAAATATTTTAATCGAGAAATCTCTTGCGGCCACAAATTGTTATAAAACTTTACAAGCGGAAAAATCTCATCTCGATGATGAAAATTTTCTCAACATTTCGCATTAGGAAAAATGCGGCCAATAATTATAGAATTCTCCATTAAAGAATGTTTCTCGAAGTGGAAAATGTTTATGTATTGTAAAAATTGATTAATTTTTGAGATGAAGCGGAAAAAATTCTTTTCTCTTTGCTTATTTATTTTTAATAACCAACTTGACTCATTTACAATGTTCATGTTTCATGAAATTTTCTTTTAAGACCAAAGAAGAAAATATTCTGTTTACATTCATGTCAGAATTGAATTCATTAAACAGATTAAAACATTAATCAGCTTATTCTTCTACCAGCATAAACAACATATGAAAGAGATTTAAGACATTTCAGCCATAAGTACAACAAATTCTCATGAGCTCAACAAAAAGTAATAACAATAATTTTTAATTCTAATGTGGTTCTTGTTAAATATTCAAGGCTTTCAAGTTAAAAGAGCAGATTTTTTTGTTGCTGCTAAAAGACGCTCATAATGAATATTATTAAAAATATTTTACCTTTTTCGTGAAGAGATATTTCATTAAACTCTCGAATAAAGATATCAACAACATAATACTTGGTTAACAGACTCACTCACACGCACCCTTCCTCTCCTGCTTGTCAGCAACTTGCTGCTGTTTTATCGACTTTTGATATTTTTCATGTTATCCGTTTTATTATATGTATCTGCTTCCCTCAAAATAAAGAATAAGAGAAATAAGGCAAGGAAATACAAAAATATTATGATTTCAATTCATGTATGAGCTTTAGCTCAAGGTAAAATGTGGAGAGGGACGAGTAGCAATGAGTGAAGTTTTGTAAATAAAGCAAATCACTTGTTTAACACAGAACAGAAGGAAAGGGTTTGAAAATATTCCTCCAAAAGATTGTTGTAAAAAATTCATAACATGATGACTCTAGAGAGAAGCTTAAGAGTGTGTAGATTTAATTAAAAACTTCACAGAATGCCTTTTATGATATGCAAAAGTATTTTAATAAATTTAAGGGACGATGAAATAATAATTTATGATTACTTTGAAACATCTCATTGATAACAAAAAAATGATTTATTGACATATATTAAAAGCATTTTGTTATTACCTGGGATGATCAAACCACCACTCACATCATAAATAATTCTTGGCAAAGAAAATCTTTTCGAAAAATTTTACATCCTAAGAGATAAGTTGGAAAGAAGATGAATTATGGATGTGATGATGAAATGCTTAATAATTAAGCACGTTAATTAAATTATTTATTTCAACGTTCTTAATTCAAGCAGATATGTCACAGTTCGGTTTGAGTTCTGCAAATTCAGCACATTGGAGCTATGGTTCAACTTCGGGTTATCCACCATATTTGGCAAGTGGAGGTCTACCAGCTGCATGTACAACACCGACGGCAGCACAATTCAATAATCCAGCTTTAGGATTTTCATGTTCACCTTCAGAAACAACATCAGGCGACTTCACGGGAACCAGAGATTGTGTACCAAGTAAAAAACTCATTAAATAACTTTAATTTTGATTACATTTTCATTCATTTAATCTTACTTAGTGTTACCTGATTCAACAGCAACTGACCTTGATCAACATTTATCAAATTTAGTTGGAACTCCACCATCAACAGGTCAAATGTTACATCAATCACTTATGAATTCTGGATCAGTTGGAAGTAACGCGAATCATTCAAGTTCTCTAAAAACAAATGGTTCATCCAATAATTTAATTGTAACGAGATATAATCATTCAATATCGAACGAAATAACATTCGAATGTCTCACCTAAGCATTCATTCTTTTTATTTAATTTATTGATTTCGTTATCCTTAGAGATCAATTTTAAAACATTTCTTTTCTCTCCGGTTTTTTGTGTCGCCTTCGTTGTTGGCTGCCTTCGAGATTAGATGGTTTGGATTTTATTTAATTTCCTTTAAGCTGCTTTTGCTTAAACATTGAAACGACGGGAGACTTGTTATGTGTTGTGCTATGTTTATTGGTAAATTGTTAACGGGGGTGTTAAGACTTACG